ACAAACCTAATGGATCGAGTAAATTGCAAATGTGGTAGGTGGCGGCCACTCCCTTGATGAATCCAATACAAGATATTTAGGTCCACTAACAAGTCGAACTGTTAGAGTCATAAAAGTGACTCTATTTTGGTGATAAAAATACCCCATGTGTGATTAAATTGAAGTATATTGAGACAATTAAAGAATTTATGAATTTATTCACGAAAATCGCTTCCTAATATTTTTCTTATGAATTTAACGTGTTTGGAATGATTTTGGAAAGGATATGAGTTGATATTAGGTTATGGTTTATGGATTAGGGGTGATTTTGTCTCATTTATGCTGTTTAGGGGGTAAACTGTCATATTTATAAGGGTTGATTTTGTCACTTTTTAATTGTGTAGGGACCAAAGTGATATTGTTTCAGTTTGTCTATAAAAAGAAGACAAAAGGTCGCGCACCAGTGAGCTGTTCATCCATGTTTTCCGGTGACTCCTCAACTTCTTTTTCGGTGGCCTCCGGCGAAGATCCATCTCACCGTTTCAGCCTCCATCATCAGCCACCAAAACCACTGCAAACCGCCACCGTAAATCATGGAAACGCTGCGACGTTTCGTCTTCCACCACCGCGACCTTTCGCATTCCTGGCCAGATTTCACCATTTTCCGACGACGTTTCAGCTCCCCAAGACTTGATCTTCCTTCCCCACGGCCGGATCTACACATCCCAAGCTTCAGCCACCGCAAAAACCGTCGAAATCCGCCATCTAGCCACCGCAACTCTTCATCTTCCAGTCGAGATCCTGCTCATTTCCGGCGACTTTTCACCTCCCCATGATCTGATCTGAACTCCTCATCACCAGAGCTTTCCATCGGTACCTTTGGATCTATTTATGCAGCCATTTTCCAGAAGACTCGCCGGAAAATTAACGTTTTCTAGCGAGTGCAGCTGTTCGTATTCCGGGCTGTCCGTTGGTCATTTTCGCCCCTTCTTCGCATCATATCGCTATCGGTTACCTCCTCTTCGCCATGATCAGCTTCGCTTCCACCGTTTCAGCCCCCGTCATCACCACCATGAGTGGCTAAGTTCCCGATTGTTTATTACGGCATAGGCGAGATAGAGATTGACTCCATGACTCTCCTCATCAGCTCTCGATTAGTTGGATGAGCCCAATTATAGGACATTTGGTAGTATTGTGCTTCGGATTATATTTGTTTTCGTTTCATGTTTGATTTCGATACTTTAGTATGATTTGAGCATAACTCGTGATGAATATTGTTGTCCATTATGATTTAATATTTTCATAGAACTTGCTAAATGATAAACGTTGGTTTGAAATAATTAAATGATGAATATTGCTTACATTACTTCGCATCGATTGTAATTGAGTTGTGTTCGAATTTAATTTAATTTCTACTGTTGTTACGTTTATTGTGAAGTTGGTTGATTGGAATTTACGTGTTGACAAATTGTATTTGTTCATCGTATACCAACTAGTGGTATTGCCTTGTAGTGTTTATCGACGTTCAATGATAGTCTTTAACCAATCGAACTTGAGTGATCGGGTGAGACAGGATAGATTATACCTAGAGTGTCGGGAANTGCATGTATAAATATGTATTATGCTTGTTGAGAAATTGAGTTGAGATGAGTATCTATTTTATGGTTGTTGGATACACTTCATGTATGAGAAGTGTTTTAATGTGTATTGAGAGATGGAAATTGAGATGAAGTTTGAGAGATTTTGTGTAAACCCTTTTTGGAAGTGCTTTTCTTGACTAGGATTATGGCTATATGAGAGAGTTTTCCCCCATTTTGGATGGCTAGAGAATGAAGTAGAGTAGTAATTATAGTAGAGTTTTTATATGCACATGAGTTGTTTGATGAAATGCCTAAGAGAAGTATGAGTATGATTAGTAAACCTTAATTCTTGCAACATTGCATATTGACATTTCATAAGTGCATTAGTGAGTATGAGCCGTCCATACGCATTATTTATGCACTTAAGAAGTAGCTTGAGAAATAGTAGAGAATTTGAGTATAAGCTACTTTAAGAGTAAAGAGAAAGAGAGAATGAGCACTAGAGAACAAAGAGAAAGTAGTGCTAAACAAAAGAATAGAGTAGGTTGTGCGATGGGGAATCTGTGAGTAATGGGTAGAGTATTCCTGCATATACGCCGCATTGAGAGAGCGGCATGAGTATGAGAGAGAGAAGTGGTGTAGCTCGTGAGAGTGCATGCGGATGAGGGCTATACCCGAGAGTACCCGAGAGAGAGATTATATACTCACATGGCCAAGGGTTTCGAATCCATGCATAATCGAGTCCGATCGGCTAGAACGAGTAGAAGTCACGTAGAGCGGGAGCGAGTCCCGGCCGTGCCTTCAGTAAGATGAGGCCGTGACTTACTAAAGAGAGTTAGTAGAAAAGAGTTATGAGAAAGAGAAAATAGAGAGAAGTATAAGAGAAAGAGTAAATCAGCGTTGTAAGGAAAGAATTAGAGAGAGAGTTACAGGGTTAGATGAGTAGAGGATTTGCTTACTGAGCATTGTTTTAGTGTTCACCTTGTTTTTCCTATGTTTTGCAGGATCTAGGTGAGGACACGGTCGGATGGGCGTCGGCAAGCGAAGGGAAATGGCTACACTGTCCACCTTGTTTTTGATAGTTTTGTATATGATACGAATTTTGTATAAAGAATGTATATGTTTAATGAAAGAAAAATTTGGGCCTAACTTTTTATACTATTTTATATGTATTTTATTATGTATATGTTTTATGAGTATTTGAATAGAAAGCGGCTATTACACGCCAAGCCCGTCTAATCCTTGAGACCCATTAGATACTCTACAAACCTAATGGATCGAGTAAATTACAAATGTGGTAGGTGGCGGCCACTCCCCTGATGAATCCAATACAAGATATTTAGGTCCACTAACAAGTCGAACCCAATGGTCTACCATCCGGCCACAAGGGAGTTGGTTTATAAGTTTTACTTTTAATAAGTTAAAAATATGTTGTTACTTGTTATAATATATAATCAAACATTTTTTTTTTTTTCAATATCAATACTTTCAATATGGTAGAATTTAAAAAAAAAAAAAAAAGGATATATTAATGTTTAAGCTAAGCTATTAGAAAAGAAAATAATAAATGTAAGTTTTAGTGTATATGTATTCTATAAATTAAAAAAGTGATAGAAGAAGAAAGAAATTAAAAAAAGAAAAGAAGATGATAAATCTCCATGTTTTATTTTATAAATTNTTTCAAGTTAGAGGTGTTGGCCCACCGATTTGACCAGTTTGTATCTATACAAGGGCAACCCTCCACACAATCATCTCAGAAGGCGAACCATGTTTTTGCCATGCACTCCATTCTTAACCATCCGGTTGAGGAACCTGCCCCTGACTCTTTTGAGGAGCAAGTGCAAGTTGCACAAGGCTTCCAGAGACGGAACGATCCGTACTCGAACACGTATAATCCTGTGTGACGTAACCATCCTAATTTTTCATGGAAGCCACAACCACCTCAGAATGTCCCCAATAATATGTCATACAGGAACAATCCTTCCAATCAGCAGGGCAATTATAGGGAGCAACCTTTAATCCAACCTAGGATCCCACCTCCTGTTCAGCAGCCCACTCCAGTGTCTAGTTCACTATAATCAATGATGGCTCAAATGCTCCAAACCATGCAGGAACAAAAAGCCGACATGAATGCTAGGTTCCAGGATTTAGAGCAGAATACCCAACTTCTACATTCCCATTCCCAATCCATTAGTAAGCTAGAGACCCAGATTGGTTAAATAGCCGAAGCAGTCAATAGGAGGGAACAAGGCCAATTGCCTAGTCAAGTCATAAGTAACCCTAGTGGTTCTTCTCAACAGAGAGGGTTTTCCGAACAAGCTAAGGCCGTGATGACTCTTCAGAGCGACCGAGAGCTAATTAGGCCTGAGAGGGAAGTAAAAGTCCAGGGTAGAAAAGAGGAGAGTCTAGGTAGGGATCAAGCCAAAGAGAGTGAGAGTGAGCCACTTGTAGAGTCAAGTGTTCAGAGACCGGGTAAGGAAAAAGTTGGGGAGAATGAACCATCCCCTGCATCGTACATACCAAGAGCACCCTTTCCTCAGTGCTTAGAGCCCCCAAATGTTCCCACTACTAGGAAATGTGCTAGGATAGAGGAAATGATTGAGTTGTTTAAGCAGGTACAGATTAACATTCCACTCTTAGATGCCATTAAGCAAGTACCTGCTTATGCCAAATTCCTCAAAGACTTGTGCACGCAAAAGAGGAAAATGAAATCTCACACACCTAAGACTGTACATTTACCAGAAAATGTAAGTGTGGTTGTTTCAAACCGCATTCCCCCGAAGTTAAAGGATCCTAGAGCTCCTAATATTTCATGTGTGATAGGTAATGTCATGATTGATAGAGCACTCTTAGACTTAGGGGCGAGCGTGAACTTATTACCCACTTCCGTGTATGAACAGTTTAACTTAGGTGAGCTCAAGTCGACTGAAGTCATACTACAGTTAGCTAACCGATTGGTCAAAATGCTTAGGGGCCTAATTGAGGACGTGTTAGTTAAGGTTGAGGAACTATATTTTTCGGTGGATTTTCTTGTCTTAGACATGGAGTATACGAGCAGTGAAAGTATGCCACCGATTATTTTAGAGAGATCTTTTCTAGCAACGGCAATTCGTGCATTAACTATAGATCAGGAGAGATGGAAGTGTCTTTTGGGAATAAGAAACTGAGACTTAATGTGTTTAATGTTGGTTTAGGACCGATGCGTGAGGATGATAACAAGTGTTTCATGGTTGATGCTATTGACAGTCTAGTGGAGGCTCACGCCCTACAGATGTTATGTGATGATGCAATTTACACTCTTATGAATCCGTTTGTTGAGGAGATATTTAGCTTGAGTGTCGTGTCTGAGATTTAGGAGGTTAGTGCGTATATGGCTAGGTCGCTCACTCTGAGCGTTGACCTTGGAACATCAAGTATGAACCCTTACCACCTTTGTCTAAGATGACACAACCGAGGTCAATTGAGTCTCCACTAGTCTTAGAGTTGAAGGCCTTGCCTGATACTCTAAAATATGTTTTCCTAGGACCCAACAAGACCTTATCAGTGATCATTGCCGCCAACTTAGATAGTAAGCAAGAGGAAAGATTAGTGGTGGTCTTGATAGCACATAAGGAAGCAATCGGTTGGTTGGTAGCCAATATGCGAGGGATTAGACCTTCTTTATGCATGCATCACATATTTTGTGAGGAGAATGCTAAACCGGTGCATGAAGCTCAAAGAAGGTTAAACCCGAACACAAAGGAGATGGTGAAGAAATAAGTGATCAAATGGCTTGATGCAGGTATCATTTACCCTATATTCGACAGCCAATGGGTGAGTCCAACCCGCTGAACACAGGACACACCAAGCCGTCTAATCCTGAGACCCATTAGATACTCTACAAACCTAATGGATCGAGTAAATTGCAAATGTGGTAGGTGGCGGCCACTCCCTTATGAATCCAATACAAGATTTTAGGCTCACTAACAAGTCGAACTGTTAGATCATAAAATGACTCTATTTTGGTGATAAAAATACCCCAGTGTGATTAAATTGAAGTATATTGAGACATTAAAAGATTTAGAATTTATTCACAAAATCGCTTCTAATATTTTCTTATGAATTTAACGTGTTTGGAATGATTTTGGAAAGGATATGAGTTTATATAGGTTATGGTTTATGGATTAGGGGTGATTTTGTCTCATTTATGCTGTTTAGGGGGTAAACTGTCATATTATAAGGGTTGATTTTGTCACTTTTTAATTGTGTAGGGACCAAAGTGATATTGTTTCAGTTTGTCTATAAAAAGAAGACAAGGTTCGCGCACCAGTGAGCTGTTCATCCTGTTTTCCGGTGACTCCTCAACTTCTTTTTCGGTGGCCTCCGGCGAGACCCATCTCACCGTTTCAGCCTCCATCATCAGCCACCAAAACCTGCAAACCGCCACCGTAAATCATGGAAACGCTGCGACGTTCGTCTTCCACCACGCGACCTTTCGCATTCCTGGCCAGATTTCACCATTTTCCGACGACGTTTCAGCTCCCCAAGACTGATCTTCCTTCCCCACGGCCGATCTACACATCCCAAGCTTCAGCCACCGCAAAAAACCGTCGAAATCCGCCATCTAGCCACCGCAACTCTTCATCTTCCAGTCGAGATCCTGCTCATTTCCGGCGACTTTTCACCTCCCCATGATCTGATCTGAACTCCTCATCACCAGAGCTTTCCATCGGTACCTTTGGATCTATTTATGCAGCCATTTTCCAGAAGACTCGCCGAAATTAACGTTTTCTAGCGATTGCAGCGGTTCGTATTCCGGGCTGTCCGTTGGTCATTTTCGCCCCTTCTTCGCATCATATCGCTATCGGTTACCTCCTCTTCGCCATGATCAGCTTCGCTTCCACCGTTTCAGCCCCCTCATCACCACATGGTGGCTAAGTTCCCGATTGTTTATTACGCATAGGCGAGATAGAGATTGACTCCATGACTCTCCTCATCATCCTCGATAGTTGGATGAGCCCATTATAGGACATTGGTAGTATTGTGCTCGGTTATATTTGTTTTCGTTTCATGTTTGATTTCGATATTAGTATGATTTGAGCATAACTCGTGATGATATTGTTGTCCATATGATTAATATTTTCATAACCTTGCTAAATGATAAACGTTGGTTTGAAATAATAAATGATGAATTTGCTTTTCATTACTTCCATCGATTGTAATTGAGTTGTGTTCGAATTTAATTTAATTTCTACTGTTGTTACGTTTATTGTGAAGTTGGTTGATTGGAATTTACTGTTGACAAATTTATTTGTTCATCGTATACCAACTAGTGGTATTGCCTTGTAGTGTTTATCGACTTCAATGATAGTCTTAACCAATCGAACTTGAGTGATCGGGGTGAGACAGGATAGATTATACCTAGAGTGTCGGGAAGCCATTTTATTGATTTACCTTGCCTTGTAGGTTAGGGGATCATAGAGGGTGGAGAGAATTGTGTGAGTTGGTCTCGTGTCGAACCCAAACCGTAACGGCAACATTTTTATTATAAAGTCTTTATTAGTTTTAATTTCACTTTTTTTATTTTGCATCTAGTTGTTTAGTTTCATTAATCAATTGCCAATTTCATTCCCTACCAAAATACATTAGGTTGTTAGTCTTGCTCCCTGTGGATTCGACCCTACTTACCGCTAACTAGTATTTAGGTTTATTTTGTGACTGTGACGACCGGTTCAACAAAATTTTGGTGCCGTTGCGGTGAGCAACGTGCTTTTGACTTTGTGTGTTTGGGTAGTCATTAGTTTTTATTCTAGGTTACTTTAGTCTTTGTTTTTTTTTTTTTTGTGTTATTTCTTTGTAGTGATTACTGTTGTGGGTGAATTATTAATTTTTGTGTTCCGTTTAGTTTGTCTCTTTGCTTTGTTAGTTAATTATTTTCTTGTTAGGTTGCTTGCATAATTTCATTTTTACTTCGTTTTATTTTATTTTCATTGGAATAGTTTCATTTTGTTTTGTTTTTGTTTGCAGGAAAATTGCAATTGGGAAACACTTCAGCATGTCGTGAGCATTAAAGATCTTGCAAGACCCGATTGTGAAATTCTCTTAACCTTTGATTTTTTTTTTTTTTATTCCTAGGATTTATTTTTGTTCTTAGTATTAAATTCTTTTATGCATTGATAAATTTAGTTTTGATTAAACATAATTGTTGTGGTGAATTTTGTTGGGTATGTTTCGTTAGATTTAGATTTATTTTAGTTTTGTTTTGTGTGCTAGTAAAATTTGTTTCTTAGATTTGCATTTAGTTAATTTTCTTTGAGATTGTTGCTTGCGTTGCTTGTTAGCCTTTTGTGTGTTTGGTTGGTGATGCCACAGAAGGTCTTGTAACGAAGAGTTATTATCTTTGAATCTTGAAATTGAACGCACTTGTAAGAGGAATAAAACAAGCACGTAGGATGGCTGACCAGGATGAACCCGCACATGTGCCCCTTAGCCAACATTTCGCACCTACCACCTACACTTCAGCCTCATGTATCTGTATCCCCAATGTCCGACACAACACTATGAGATCAAAACTAGTGGTCATCCAATTGTTGCCAATTTTTATGGGAATTTAAATGAGGAGCCATACAACACTTAGATGAATTTTTAAGGTTTACTCCACAGTTAGACTTCAACATGTGAATGAAGATGTCATGTGCTTAATTTTGTTCCCTTTTCACTTAAGGATTGAGCCAAACAACGACCAATTCTTTGGCAGCAGGGTCCTTATCTCTTGGACCCAAATGCAACAAGGATTCCTAAAAAAGTATTATCCAATTGGTAAAACCAACAGCATAAGACGCCATTACTAATTTCGCTCAACTTGATGGGCAGGAATTTTATAGAGTTAGGAACATTTGAAGGAATGCTTAGGAAATGTCCCCATCACGCAGTCCCTAGGTGGCAATTAGTTCGTAGTTTCTATGGACGGACTGACCGAAGGCATAGGAATATGGTAGACGCCTCTTGCGGAGGAACATTTATACACAAGGACGAGAAGGAGTTGGCAACTCTTCGAGACCTTAAGTGAAAATTCAATGCACCACATTTCTGTGTCTAGAATGCCTATCTCAGGGCAGCCATCCAAGAAGGGTGGCGTGTATAGGTGTCACGGTTAGATGACATGAGTTCAATGGATGATATCTTTTCTTTGACCCTAAATGTGAATGCAAATTAAATGTTACTGTTCCTATTCCGTCTTGAACCTGACCCTAGCTCTCTTTGAAGCCATAATAGATATGTGTGTGTGTGGCTCTTCTGATTAATTATATTTAATTTCCAATTAATTTAATCATCAGGGGATCGAGTTGAGGTTTTAGTGAAGTTGATGCCAACTGGGTTCAGGTTCAGTCCCACCGATGAAGAGCTTATCGGAATTCTTGAAAGGAAAGTTCATGGCCAAGAATTGCCTCTCCATGCCCATTTCATTTCTGAAACAAATGTTTATGGGTTTGATCCACAAGATCTCCAATGTGTGTAGTTAATTTACCTTATTTATTTCTTCTTTATATTAATTATTTCTATCAGTTTATTATTTCTTCATCATTAATTGGATTCTATTATATTGGCTAATCGCTTTATCTGTCCTAGTGTTTAGGATTTTCATTTTTATTTTCTTGGACTAATTATATATTCTGTATCCTTTAACTTTTCTTTCTTTTATTATTGGCTGATACATTATCTAGAAATCACTAGGTATTTAAAAATTCTTAATCAACATTAAAGACATTAGTTTATTTAAACCTATTAGCATCAGCATTTTCTTTCTATGTGATCTAGCACGTTGTAATTCTTTTTGCTTAGGATTTAGAAATTATTTTCTCTACCAAGTATTCATTTTATATGTTTTATCTTTTGCTTTTGTGTTGATTTTGTTTATTTGTTGAGCTTTATCTTTATAGGGGATCATAGCATGATGGCGACTAACAGCGAGAGATATTGCTTCGACTTAAGAACAAATGACTCTCGAGAAGTATTAGGTCGAGGATGGTGGAGAGCTACAGGCCATGTTAAGAAAATTCATATCAATCAACATTTGGTGGGTTGCAAGAGACCTTTATCATTTCACAGGTTTTTAGATAATGATAGAAAGCGAAATAAAGCTTTGAAGACCAATTGGATCATGTATGAATATAGCATTTCTTCCACCAGAAGTGTAAGTAACCTTTTATATATATACACATAAATTCGTAGGTGTAGACTTCCAGGAATTTTTAATATGTAGAGTGAAGGTGAATGTCTGGTTGTTGGCTTTTGTTTCTAGGGTTTGTGAAGTTAGTGACTGGTGGTTCACTTACACCACTAGAAACAAGGGCTACAACAACGCAAGACCGGCGTTGATATAGTTGTTTATTGTGTTGAGGTCACACTCAGAAAACGTAGGGACATCTTGGTCTCTACGTTAAAAATTTCTGTTCAGCCGCACTAAAATTTTTATTTATTGTAATGGCAAGTCTTCCGGAGTAGTTTTATTTGATTTCTTTTTATGTTAATTTTGCAGGAATGGAGAATTTGTAAGATCAAACATAAGGGGAAACCAAGTGTAGAAGAAGAGGTGGAGAATCTGAATATGAATGGATATTACACATCATTGAGAAATTGTTTTGAAGCCAGTAGTTCAAATTCAATAATAGGCATGCAGCAGCAGCAGCCATATTTTATTGGTGAAGCCAGCGGCTCAATGGCGCCCATGCAGCAGTACAGTAATATTGGTTCTTTTGGTGAAGAAGATGAAGATCAACAGCTGCGATCACAAACTTATAATTTTACACAAAACATGATAGAGATGCAGCCAGAAGAAGCTTCATATGATTATTATCATCCTTATCGCTTCGATTATTATTAAATTCAGCAACAATAAATTTCCTCGGAACAACAATTTTCAGGCCATAATTATATATTGGTCCACCCAGAACTAGTTGCAAACTCTGTTGAGATAGATGGTGAACGACAAGCTTTGCGCGACTAAGTTGCAGCGTGTATTCCTGCATCGTGCCAGATATTTTCCAACGCAATATTAATCTTTTCTGATGCATGCATGCTTTTCTAATACATGAAAATAGAACAAAATAAAACCACTGGAAGTTAAATATATGGTAGGATCTATGAGAGAATAATATTCTTGTTCAGTAGATTTATTCCTTTTCTATAGATTGCAAATTCCAAGTAATTTTTGTTACTTCATATTGTCCCCTCGTATTGAAAATTAAATTTGTAGGCTTCTGTGAGATGAATGTATTATGAAATTATACTATGTGTAGTATGTTTTCTCTTTTTATCTATTTAATTATCATTGATTATTTTTTTAAATGTATCAATAACAAATATTTTATGGGATAAACATATGATTAAACAAACACATGAACTCTCTTAGTCCAATAATTATATGCTTCTATTTGGATCGTTTAAGTTTTGAGATTAGATTAGCATTATTTTTTACTAATTTTCTTTGGATGATGAATTTTTTGTTTAACAAAAAAAAAAAAGGAAAATCCTTTTATCCTCTTAAGATTATTATTATTTTTAATTTTTTTATGCGCAAACATTTAATAAGAATTTTAGCTTAGTGACTAAGCCAAGATTCTATGAGGTTTTCGAGCCCCTGCTTTCCTCAAGCTCCATTACAAGCTGAACACGGGACACGCCATGTAACGCCGCACTTGGGGTACGTAGTTAAGATTTGTTATATTACTTAAATGTTCATTGATCCAGCTTCAATTGAGTTTGTATGTTGTTATTTTTGGTTGGTTGGTCTTAGGTTGAAATGGTATGTTGAGTTGGTTGAGTGTTTGCCTTGAAATTGGTTGAGATTTGAGGAATCTTGGTATTACAGTCTTCGCCACGGCGACGTCAGCTCTGTGTTGCGATATCAGTTCTGTAACTTTTCGGCGGGGCGACGGAACTTTCTTCGCCGCAGCGACGGGACGGCAGAAAAGTTTCTTGAGCTTTCTAGAGAATTCTCCATAGGGGCAAAATGACCATTCTACCCCTAATTAGTAGGAAAAGTGGGGAGTGAAATGTAAGGAAATTTCATGGAGAATAGGTTAGTGTGGGGGTGTGAGTGTAATGAATCAAAGGATATAGATGGAATTTCCAAGGAAGAGCAAGGACAAAATGGGAAAGGATGGTTATAATATGAGCTAAAAAGGGTTAAGTGTAATAAACCCTTTATTTTACCCATTTCCACTGCCATTCTCATTCTCTACTTCCTCTCAATCCTCTATTCAATTTTCCAAGATTTCTAAGGAGTTTTTGGGAGTCTTTGGGGTAATTTTAGTAGGGTTTGAATCTAAAGCATCCTAAGGTAAGGATTCTTGCTTTAGATGTGAGTTTGCTTATAGTTGTATTGAAGTCTTATATTGTTGTTATTGTTATTGTTTAAAGTTGTAGAGAGAAGACAAGACAACAAGGGAAAGAAGAAGTGTTAGAGAAGTCACTTATTCACAAAGTAAGTAAATCCAACCAAGTTGAGATTTGAAAAACAAACCTTTGAGTAGAGATTGAGTAGAGATGTATGCATGTATAAATATGTATTATGCTTGTTGAGAAATTGAGTTGAGATGAGTATCTACAAACAATCAAAACTCACATAACTAATATGGGACTACTTGGCATTATATTCTGATGTTATAGGGAACAGTTAGCTTTATATTGCTGCAGCTGATCAACCTATTAATATGGCTGAAGATAAATATTTGAAAAGATTTGTTCAAAAATTCATTTTTTCCAGGATTTAAAAGTTATTCTAAAATTGCAACTAGAAGATTTAATAAATTGTTTAAAAAAATGAAATTAGAATTAAAAAATAAATTTCATACTTGTCATATAGTGTGGCTCTAACTGCTGATATTTGGAGTGGTAGAGCTAAACAAGATTATATTTGTGTACTAGTCATTTTTTGTAATGATTTAAATTAAATGGATCTTTATTAGGATTTAGATTAATGATGTGGATCATAGTGGTTTAGAAATCTATAAAAATTGTTGAATTTTTAGAAGATTATGATATTATTGATAAGTGATAAGTTTAACTTTAGATAGCAAGTTCTAATGTAAAGCTATAGATTTTTTTCAATATTATCCTTTATATAACAATTTGAAGTTTTTTCACCACGTTGTGCATGTCATGTTATTATTTAATTGTGAAAAGTGGTATGAAAACTTAAAAAAAATATTGATAGAATTAGGAATCTTAGCTGGTTACTGGTTAATAAAAGAAATGCTAAATTTCAAGAAGCTTGTATAAAATCAAATATGTCTCCTAGAACTTTTGCATTAGATATGCCTGTTAGATGGAATAGTACTATTTATTGCTTTGATTCATGTTTACCTTATGTTATATAATTAGTTATTTTGTACAATAATGAGGTCCTCATTATTTGGTTGAAAATGATTGGAAGATAGCTAAGTATTTCATTCTTTTCTCAAATGTTTTTCCAATCCACTTTACAACTTTCTGGTGTGTATTATCTACTAGTCCATTGGTAATACATACATTATAAAAATTTCTGAGTTATTACAAAAAACAGAGACAAGAAATTTTAATGCACCATAAAGGCAATGGAAATTTTTTTTTTGAAATATGGGAACCCATTCCTTTTCTTTATTGTTTAGGTGCTATATTTGATCCTATAGTAAATTAGCACATTAGAAAATGGTTTTGACAATTTAAGTGAAAATTTACAAACCGAATCATTTGTCAATCAAATAGGAGAGGTAAAAATAGTCTTTTCGAAGTATATTTCCAATATGAAAACAGGTATGGGAACTCGCAGTTGCAGAGGCGAAATATCCAAGAAGTTGTAGCAAGAAACAACAAATGAAGACTTATACTCTTGGAATGCACTGATAGGCGAAGAGGACCCCGAATCCGAAGCACAGCCACACCTCCTCTTCAGAAGCACCACCATATAACAACAACAACTAATATACTGTCCTCCATGGAGTCGCAGTAATGAACTTCAACAATATTTGGCAACCCCCGAAATGTTTTCAACAGGTCACTTTGATATCTTAGTAGTGAGAGCCAAAATGTATTTTTCAGGTATTATCAAGACTTGCCTTGGTTTTTTCACTGTCCTGTCTCACACGTCTCATCCGAACAAACATTTAGTGCAAGTGGAGGATTTTAAATGAAGGAGACTAAACTTGCTCCAAAAATGATTGAAGTCCTCACATGTCTTTGAGATTGGGAACATCGCGCCATCAAGATCAATACGAGGTTATCGACATACTTAGAGAATCATTTTAATTTTGTAATAAGATGATACAGATGAGGGAGGTCCTAGTGAACCACTCACAATTAGTTGTTTTGTAAAATGTAATTTGTAAATTAATTGTCAATTAGGCACTCTTTTTTTCTTACCAAGTTTTTCTCCTCATTGGGTTTTTCTTGGTGAGGTTTTTACGAGCGATAATTGTTGTAATTTCTTATTTTATTTTTTGATAAATGAATAAGTCTAATTTTTCTTATATTATAATTTTATGGTATCAAATTGAATTAATATTTGAATGTTAACAAACAAAAATTGAATTGAATTATTGATATTGAAAGTTAATTAAAACAATTATATTTATAATTATTTATTTGAAAGTTAAATAAAAACAAAAAAATAGGAAAATCGGGCTAACCCGGCCCAGCCGGCCACTAACCCGCGGGTTAGGGCTGGCGGGCCAGGCTGGGCCAGCCATTTTGGAGAAAATGGCGGGCCTAACCCGCCTGCCTTTGTTGGCGGGCGGGTTAGGCCCGGCCCACAAACAAAGTAACCCGCCGCGGGCCCGGCCGGCCGGCGGCTTACTTTCCACCTTTACACCTTCCTTGTGCTTCTACTCGTGGCAGACATAGGGTTTTTTTCCTAGGGAAGGTCTTTGCGGCTACACATTGTTTATCAATCAACTAGTGAAGATTTTTAAAAAACCACAAAACCTTCAGCAAAGAAATTAGAGGTAAGAAAGAACAGGGCCCAATCGATCCTAGGTCTGGGCCCAATGGGTCTGAGCCCATTGACAGGGCCCATTTTGGTTGAGACCGTCTTGGGCCATGAATTTTGCAGGCCTAACTGGTCCCTAGGTCGTCATAGGCCTATAGGACCATTCCTATAGCTTGGAAAATTTTAATATGCCCCTAATACATAAAATTTTATTTTAGCCCTTATATTTATTGTTGTTTTGTATAAATATGCGGGTTTGGATATTTATCAGGAGCTTAACAAAATTGGGCGGAGGGGTTTGGGACCAATCCTAGGCCCAGGCCTTGGAGGGATCGACCTAGGCCCAGCCCTCTTCCATAGGCCTGTTTGGTTTTGGGAACAGCCTATAGGATCGGTCCTAGGCTTGGTTTTTGGGTCCGTCCAAATTCCCACCTCTAAAGGAAATAATATATCATGAGCTGAAGAAAGATGTAATAATACTTTTCTTACTTGAATAAATCTATGAGAAGTAAACCTTGAGCAAATGTGTTGAATCACATCAATTCACATGAAAACAGAAATTTTGACGTGAAAAAACTTCTTCATGTGAAGAAAGCGAAAAACCATGGAATCTAACGATCCTTAAATTCAATATAAAAAAGTTTACAATAACCACAATTTACAAAAAATACTCCATACACATTTAGACGCTCAATCACAACTCTAACATAAGTAAAACTATAGAGGTTTACAAAGAGATGATTAAAATCACAAATTTATTCCATATCATCAAAATTCTGTTAGGGTTTTTTGTCATCTAATTACACATATTATTCTTATTTATTAAGGTAAACACAAAAACCCACTTTATCTAGTATCTTATTTTTTAGCTTATATTTATATTAAATTTCACTATAATAATTGGTTTGCAATCCTTA